TGTTACCAGAAAGTGGTCTTGGTCCAGACCCTGAGAGGGTTTTTGTTGGATCTTATGCAGGAAAGAATTTAGGGCAAGTCCATAGAGTCAAGTGAAAGCAAGTTAAGAAGAAACAAAAGAATGGCCACTCCATAAACAGAGCAGGCCTGAGGGCCACTGGATGGCTGTTTTTATGGTTATTTCTTGATTATATGCTAAACAAGGGGTGGGTTATTCATTAGTTTTCTGGGAAAGGGGAGAGAATTTCGAGAGCTAAGGGTTCCTCTTCCTTTTAGACCACACAGGGTAACTTCCCAACGTTGACATGGCAATTGTGAACTGTTATGGCACCGGTGGGAGTGTCTTTTAGCAAGCTAACGCATTAAAATGAACATATAATGAACAGTGAGAATAGCCAGAGGTCACTTTCGTTGCCATCTTGGTTTCGGCAGGTTTTAGCCAGCTTCTTTCCTGCATCCTGTTTTATCAGTGGGATCAGTGGGGTCTTTGTGACCTGTATCTAGTGTTGACCTCCTGTCTCATCCTGTGACTAAGCATGCCAAACCTCCTGGAAAAGCAGCCCAGCAGGTCCCACCCTTATTTCACCTAGCCCCTATTCAAGATGGAATTGTTCCTGTTTGAACACCTCTGACATATTCCCCCCGACTTTTATGAAGGGATCCTTAAGTGTCTGAGGGTTGTAGATCTATCCTCTGTAACTTCTTCAGGCTGAATAGGGGTGATGATATTTTTGCCTAATTATTAGGGTCTCTTGTATGCAGGGTAGAAAGGAGTCAGTCAGTTATGGTGAAGGCCATTCATAACTCTTTCAGATATCAGCTTCTGTTCTGACAAAAGTTGCTATGTGGAAGATTAATAAATGTTCAATTTAAGAAAATGTTGAGTAGGCTTATTTTGCATTTCTACGTGAAAAGTACAACAGCAATATATTCCATAGCAGTAAAGCAAATAAGTAAAATTATCCCAGTAAACTGAATAAGAAGGCTTTTAATGAACTTGGCTATTGTTGGAACCAAGTTGTTATGGGGTTGCTAGCCAATTCCAATACATGCCCAGAATTAGAATACTGATCTAGATTTTTTTTTTTTTTTTGAGACGGAGTTTCACTCATGTTACCCAGGCTGGAGTGCAATGGCGTGATCTCGGCTCACCGCAACCTCCGCCTCCTGGGTTCAGGCAATTCTCCTGCCTCAGCCTCCTGAGTAGCTGGGATTACAGGCACGCACCACCATGCCCAGCTAATTTTTTGTATTTTTAATAGAGACGGGGTTTCACCATGATGACCAGGATGGTCTTGATCTCTTGACCTCGTGATCCACCCGCCTCGGCCTCCCAAAGTGCTGGGATTACAGGCTTGAGCCACCGCGCCCGGCTGATCTAGATTTTTACATTACCTATCTCTCTCTTTTCTTTTGAGGAGCAGCCAGAGATCACTGATTGATTTACAGGAATAAGCAGAGTCAGTCTAAATTTAAGGAAAAAAACCTGAAAAACAAAGATGAGATTAAAATCTAGTAACAGATGTATAATAGTTTTTGAAACATAAATTTTTTCTTTCCAGTCCCCATTTTCGTTAAAACAAGTCAAGGTAGGACTGATTTGTTTGCAAAATAAGCTTTAGTCTTGTTATACTTGACCTGATTATATGAAGTGAAGTAAGAATAATTATTTGCCATATAGGCTTCTTTGAAAATTGGCTTTGATGGAACTTTATTCCATAAGTAATCTCAAGACTTTTTAAAGCCTTGAGACCAGCCATGGATTTATCTGTCTATGCCTGAAAATACCTGTAGGAGTTGAGTTAATTCCTCTCCAGGTCTCAAGATAATTTGGGGCTCCTGGACTTGTCAAAAAGTACATACTTTACTTATTATAGATCAGGAACCCTGTACAGGGATTGCATAAACAAGGTATGAGGCTAGTTTTCTCAAGTGGCTTTTTTTTTTTTTTTGGCTCTGTAAGTCAGCTTTGATTCTTTAAAGCTGTCTGTATCTGAAAGCACACCATCCCAGTCAAAGCCTTGGTAAAAAATCTGTCTCCAATTGTGTCCTTTTATAAAAGAAAACAGATTCTTATTGTATTTATGCAAATAACTATGTTGCTGTAAGTTAAGAATACTCACAAATAGTTTCCAAATTCTGGTAAAATCAGGTAGACAGAAAGATGCTCAAAATTTTGCTCATAGGAGTATACTTTACGCAATTGTTGAAAGCTCCAAAGAAAAGTGGTCTTGACTCTGAAAAACAAAGCAGAAAGAATGAGCAACATGTTAAGTGAAACATCATGAAAAGATAATTTTGGTCTTCCATTAGTTTAGTCTGTGTAATTAATTCCTGTTTTGCTTGATACTTATAATCATGCGTTTTCCAAGAATGTCTTGTAAGTTCCTTCTCTCTATTTTAAAGGCATACTTTCCAAAGTTATCAGAGAGCTGCATTTAAGAGTACCTGTCAGTCCTATAGCTGATTATAAACCATCTTTTAAAGAGAATCAAAACAAGACAGTTGTCTGTGGATGACAAAGTCTTAGGGTAGCCACAGTTAAAGACATAATTAACTAGGAATTTGGGTTACTTCTGTGGCATACAAAAATTGTATTTAACAATTATTATTACTGATAATGTACAATATGTCTTTTCAGAATTAAAGGGGTTTTCCATAATTTTGGAACACATACCAACAACATATTTATATAAATACAGCTCAAAGAAAGCCAAACACCATTTTATATTTGACAATGCTTCCTGTATAATTTTAGTATACCAAATAAGCCAAATATGTCATTTTTGGACTTTAGGGGGACCTAATATCTAAAGGATTAACCTGATCACCAAAAGATATAATTTAGAATTTTATTTTGGAGTTTGTCAAATATAAAAACTTTAAAATTCTGATAAAATAAAATTTCAGGTCACCATAAGCCATTCATTTAGCCAAAATGATAACTCAAAGATTTTTAAAAGTTGAAAGCCTTTACTCATTGCTAGAGGAAAGACTTAGCTTTCCAAATAATCTATTTTATCTCCCTTCTTTTTCTTGTAGTTTATTTAAAAGGCAAACAAAATCTTTCATTTTTTTCAATATTCCATAAAAATCCTGTTCAGGCGAGGCAAAGTGGCTCATGCCTATAATCCCAGCACTTTGGGAGGGCAAGGTGGGTGGATTGTCTGAGTTCAGGAGTTTGTGACCAGCCTGGGCAACACAGTGAAACCCTATCTCTACTACAAATACAAAAAATAAGCTGGGAGTGGCGGCATGTGCCTGTAGTCCCAGCTACTCAGGAGGCTAAGGCAGGAGAATCGCTTGAACCAAGAAGGCAGAAGTTGCAGTGAGCCGAGATCACACCACTGCACTCCAGCCTAGGAACAGAGTGAAACTCCATCTCAAAAAAAAAAAAAAAATCCTGTTCAAGAGAGAAAGCCAAATTTTACCTTTGCATTAGTATATGATTATTATCGAACCCAATTTTAAATAAAGCCTTATAGACAAATCTATCCAATCTTAATCAGTTTGACCATAAGTTAAGATTCTTGCCGGGCGCGGTGGCTCAAGCCTGTAATCCCAGCACTGTGGGAGGCCGAGGCGGGTGGATCACGAGGTCAAGAGATCGAGACCATCCTGGTCAACATGGTGAAAC